CACTGGAAGTTGAAGAGTGACTAGAAAGTAGCCAGGGTGGGGAGAAATGTGTTACAAAAGAGGGAAGAGCATGTAACAAGGCCCCAAAGTAGGGGAGAGCTTGGTGAAAGACCACGGAGCCGGAGCACCGCAGGAGAGAAGGATGTCAGGAGCCCAAGTGGGGCTTCGTGGGCCATGATGGGAGCAATATTGGATTTTATTCTACACACCATGGATGGCCAGTGAAGGGTTTTAAGAATGAAAGTGTGCTCAGCAGATCTTCATTTTAAGAAGATCATTCTGATTGCCTAGAGGAGATTGTATGAGAGGGGAACTGGAGAATTTCTCCACATCCTGGTAAGTTAAAGCCCCGCACAAACCAAGGTGTGGAGAGGGTGAAAAGTGGCAGCACTGAGCATGAAGAGTGGACAGTGTCAATATGTATTTTGGAGTGGAATCAACCTGACTTGGCAAGAGGTGGAAGTGGAAGCTAATGGGTTGACAAGTGCCAGGGTTAACAATGAAGCTTTTGAAAGAGTTACCCCAGTGGGTGGCAGTGCCTTTATTGAGATGGGATAAACAGATGAAAAGGAGATTTGTGCATGGCAATGGAAAGAATATTGGACATTCAATTTTTCATCATTCTAAGTCAATTTTCATATAATGACTTTATTGATATATAATTCACATGTTACAAATCAGTCATTTAAAGTGTACAATTCAATGGTTTTCAGTATATTCACAGAGTTGTGCAATCATCACAATCAATTTTAGGACCTTTTCATCATCCCAAAAAGAAAGTCTATACCCATTACCAGTCTCTTCCCCAGTTCTCCCAGCCCTAGGCAACCGCTAATCAACATTGCTTCTCTTGACTTGCCTATTCTTGATATTTCATATAAAGTGAGTCATACAATATGAGGTATTTTGTGATTTACATTCTTTCAAGATTCATCCATTTTGTAGCCTGTATCAATGCCATTCTTTTTTTTATGGCTGAATATTTCATTTTATGGGTATACCAGATTTTATCAACATATCCTTGGATAAACATCTGGTCTGTTTCTACTTTTTGGTTATTATGAGAGCCAAAATGCTACATTGAACATTCAAGTACAAGTTTTTGTATGGTTGTGTTTTCATTTCTCTTGAATATAGACCTAGAATTGCAATTGCTGGATCATTTTATAGCTCTATATTTAACCTTTTGAGGAACTGCCAGAATGTTTTCCTAAGAAGCTATGTCATTTAACATTGCAAACAGCAGTGTATAAGGGTTCCGACTAAGCCACATCTTCTCCAACACTTGTTATTACTTGTCTTTTTTATTGTAGCAATCTTAGTGGATGTGAAGTACAACCTCAGTATTTACATTTGTATTTCCCTGATGGCTATAATGATGAGCATCTTTTCTTGTAATATTGCCATTTGTGTATCTTCTTTGAAGAAATATATCTAATCAGATCTGTTGCCCATTTTTAACTGGGTTATTTCTTTTGTCACTAATGTTTCGGTGTAGTATCTAATAACATTTTGCTTAACCCAACGTCACACAGATTTACATTTTCTTCTATGAATTTTATAGTTTCAGGTTAGCACTTAAATTTAGATCTGTGATTTGTTTTTATTAATTTTTATACATGGTGTGAGGTAGGGGTCCAATTTCATTCTTTCACATTGGGCAATAGATCCAGTTGTTCAGTACTATTTGGTGAAAGAACTATTCCTTCCCCCATTGAATTTTAAGGGCACCTGTGTTGAAATCTATGTGAATATGTATTTCCAAATTCTCAATTCCATCCCACTGATCTATGTATGTGTCTATTCTTATGCCAGTGCCACAGTTATGAATACTGTAGCTCTGTAACAAGTTTTGAAAATGAGAGTTTGAGCCCTCCAACTTTGTTCCTCTTTTCAATATTGTTCTGGCTACTCTTGTGTAAGACAATACACACTCCTATGTGTCTCCTCTACTCTCAGTACTTCACTGCAACACTACTTAGCTTCTGACACCAGATATGTAGGTCTTCCAAACATCAACTAATTTTGCAGCACCAGTTGGGTGTCCTACAATTGAACTCAATTCTACACTATCTACCTGATAGCATCAGATCCCACAGGTCTGGCCTCCTCCCACTTCAGATGCCCACTGCATGTCAAGTTGTTACCTACGCTTCTGACTGACCAGCTATCTATCAGAGGTTCCCATGATCACCTCCTTACATTCAATTAATATGCTAGAGCAGCTCAAAGAATACATTCACTTAATGAAGATACATAGGGCAAAGTCTAGAAGGGTTCCAGGTCCAGAAGCTTCTGGCCCCACGGGATCAAGGTGGGCCACCCTCCCAGCATATAAATGCCTCATTTGCCTACCTAGTAATTTATCAAATCTTGTTCAAGAGTTTTGATAGAGCTTAATCCCCAGACCTCTCCCCATGGCCCTCCCAGAGGTCTTTGGGTGGGGCTGAAAGTTCTAATACTCTAATCACTAGGTCTTTCTCGTGACCAGTCTCATTCTGGGGCTATCTAGAGGCCCCAGCATAATTACCATGTTTTGCCATGTATAATGCGTACCCACATTTTTGTGCACACTATACGTGGGATTATTAAACCCATTATTATACCTATGATATGTAACCATTATACCCATATATAGTACGCATTCTAATTTTCCCCTCAAAAATTTGGGCAAAAAGCCCTTGCTGGTATAGCTCGGTGGATTGAGCGTGCGTGGGCTGCGAACCAAAAGGTCGCTGGTTGGATCCCAGCCAGGGCACATGCCAGGGTTGCAGGCCAGGTCCCCAGTAGGGGGCACCTGAGTGGTGACCACACATTGATGTCTCTCTCCCTCTCTTTCTCCATCCCCCTTCCCCTCTCTCTAAAAGTAAATAAATAAAATCTTTTTAAAAATTGGGACCAAAAAAGTGCACATTATACACAACAAAATACAGCATCTCATTAGCATAAATTCAGGTGTGCTCAAAAGAGGATCCTTAGGAATAACAAAAATACTATCACTCAGAAAATTCCAAAAGTTTTAGAAACTCTTTGAATTTTTATTGAGTTTATCGGAGTGACATTGGTTAATAAAATGATATAGGTTTCAAGCGCACAATTCTATAACACATCATCTGCATGTTATATTGTCCGTTCACCACCCAAAGTCAAGTCTCCATCATCACCATTTATCTTTTTATCCTCTTCAACCTTCCCCAACGCCCCTTCCCTCTTTTTATCACCACACTGTTTTCTGTGCCTGAGGGTTTTTTTTGCTTAATTCCTTCACCTTTTTTACCCAGTCCCCCAACCCCCGCTCCCCTCTGACAGCTGTCAGTCTGTTCTACGTATCTGTGAGCCTATTTCTATTTTGTTCATTAGATTCCACGTGTAAGTGAAATCCTATGGTATTTGTCTTTCTCTGACTGGCTTATTTCACCTACCATAACACTCTTCGGGTCCGTCCGTGCCGTGGCAAAAGGTAAAATTTCCTAGTTAAAAAGACATCCTGCCAGCCACATTTCTCTGTCCCTTTCCACTGTCCACTCTCATTCATGGCTAAACAAACACAGCTCTTCGGATTTCCTCTCTATGCACCCTCCAAGGACCTCATCCACCTCCTATCAAGCCAGATTAATACAATTATTATGGTTGTGGTGATTATTGATTAAGCTTCATGATGTCAAGAAAAGTCCTGCTTTCTTTAGACACACGTAGTCGTTCAATATCCATTTATTTTATTCAACGCCCATGATGTTTAACACATGGATAGATAGCACTGAGTAAAATGATGAAAATGAGCTTACATTTGAGTCCTGGAGAGATATTAATAAAACTAGACATGCAATTTAAAAACTGTAGTATGGGAGGAAGAGTAACGAGCTGAGGGGGGATGAAAAGGCAGTACTGAACAACCGGAACACTGCATGACACCCAAAAGCAATAAGCAGCTAACACGTTCCTGGCTATTTTAAACAATTCTCTGGTACCTCTAGCCCAGTCCAGGCAATTTGGGCTGTATTTATACTCAAATAACGACTCCTGAGCACTGACAGGCAAATTTGGGAGAGGTGAGGCTATGGGGAAGCTGAATGACAAATGCAAAAGCTTCCTTTTCTTCTTTTTTTTTTTTTCTTGCTGCTGTTGTTAGATATAACTACAAACCTATGTGTATGTTCAGGGTAGGAGAGAAGCAGAACAAAATCACTTTCTCAAATGCCATTTCCAGATTAAGTCAGCAGATATCATCATGGCTCTTGGTAGACTGGAAGTTAAATATTGTGGCCTGCAAATCAAAACACACTAAAAAATCAGAACACACTAAAAAAAATTGCTAAATTTCAATTTTTAGCAACCGAGTATCATGTTAGCAGTCAGCCTTTACCGGTCAGGGGGGCCTAGTCATTCTCACTGGAGCTGTCAGGCTCTGCATTGCAAATCACTGAAAACCTCACATTGGTCAAGTAACAGGGGTTTCCGTGGGAATGAGGTAAAGGGCGCTCTGGTAAGAGAATAATGGCTGCCCGGCCCGCCGGCCTCATTGAAAGTGGGGGGGCAGTGTAAGCGGGTGTCGAGGCGCCCAGGCCGTGACCCACGCCGCCCCAGCGCTCAGTTCCGGGCCCTTCCCCTCGCCGCAGCCCATTAGACGGGAGAGAAGTGACACTGGGGCTGAGGCCTCGCCGCCGCCCAAGTAAGTGAGCGAGCGACTAGTGAAACACGTTGCGGGCAGTCACCCACCAGGACCGAGATCACGCAGATCCGGGCCCAGAACGGGCCCAGATACTGCAGGGTGGAGGGAAGGGGCGCTGCGCGGGGTTCAGAGGATGTACCCTGCGGTTCTCAGTTTGCAAAGCCCAGCAGCCGCCGCCAGGCCCCACCCTCCGGGGGCTTATGTAATAGGGGAGCGCTGCCATTGGCCAGCGCAACCGGAAAAGGCGCAGGCGTGCGAGCAGGGCGGGGGGCAGGGAGGAGTCCGCGGCAGGAAGGCAAAGGGGCGGGTGGGCGGGGGCTAGGAGGAGCGGGCAGGCACTGGGGTTTTTGGGAGAGCCGCGCGGCGTGCGCGAGCCCGGGGCTTAGTGGCCTTTCCCAAGACTGAGGCGGCGGCGGGTGCGCGCGCGGCGGCGGGTGCCAGGCGCAAGCTGTTGTGCCTCAGGCTTTCCTCTTTCCCCTCTTAGGCCGGTGCAGGAGGCCAAAGCGGTGCTGGGCGCGCTCCCTTTTCCTCTCCCTCTGGCCACCTCCTCCGGCCCCTTCGCGCTGCGCGGTCTCTCCGACGCAAGACTGTCCCGGCCCGGGTGAGTGGTGTGGGGGCGGTGCTAACGCCCGCAGGACGCCGGGGAACCCGGGTGGGCGTCACTGGCGGGGTCGGCGGGAACCGTGGGAGGTCGCCGAGCGTCGCGAGGGGCTGCTGGCCTACCCCGCCTCCTCGGGGGCCGCCGGGCTAATCCTGCCCCAGCGCTGGCTGCGGGAAGGAGGGGAAGCTCGGGCGCCTGCCAGGCCCTGCAGGTGGCCGGGTCGCAGGCCAGCCGCGGGAGCTGAGCGGTAACCTTACCCCCTGGCGACAGCAGCTGGTTGTTTTCTCGACGCTGGGGCACCCTGTTGGGGAAGGTGCCGGGTTTCGGGCAGCTGAGGCCTCAAGTAGGCGCGTCTCGGGCCGGGGTCGGTGAGGAGTGGTGGGGGTTGTATGGCCCTTAGTGGCGGGGAAGAGGAAAGGGGGCTCCCCGAGGTGAGAGAGGCGGGTTTGGGAAGGAAGGTGGGCTAGCCCGCAGCTGCGGTCAGTGAAGTGTTGGGTGAAATAGACGTTAGTCCTGGTGCTTTTATCTTCTCTCCTCCCCAAAAGGATGTATTTAAAATCTAGAGTCTGAGGTTGATCACTGCACGGGCCTGTTCGACGTTTCAGTGGTTATGGAGAATGATCCTACTTCCTGGATCCAAAATTTTCTCTTATTCATTCCGGTTTTGGTTTTAATAGAATCTTTGGGGCAGTGCTTACTTGTTGCCTCCTGTAAAGAGCTCCTCATTTTTAAAGAACTCGTTATTCTTTTTACTACTTCCCTCTTGCAACCCCTTCAGAAAACCATACTGTTATATTAAAAAACAGTTTTTAGGTATTTGTAAATGACTTCTTAACCCTTTATTAGAGAGTTTGTCGCATTTAATCAAGGAGCAGTTATGCTTAAGCTTTTGTAGAAAATTCGGTTGGCTAGGAAGCAAGCCCTAAACTGTCCAAAAGCAGGTGGTTTGTTCGTTTGCATTTCTGTTTTCAGAAAGGAAATCAGCGCGGTTATTTGTTAGACGTTAGGGGCCTGCCCCACGAATTTAGACCGTTTCTGTTTCCTTTACCTGGTATTAAGGTGTCCGTTTTTAAAATAAGAAAAAGTGACGGTCTCTCACAAAACTTCTATGGGGTTTTTTTGTTAGTTTTTAAATACAGTGGGAAGTAGGTTGAATCTGTTGTGTGATATTATATTTGAGGGGAAATCTTCCATACAAAAATTAAAAAATAATGTGTATCTAATGACACTACTTATCAAAAAGCTGATAACCGGTAGATATCAAAGTTCTGTATTAGTGGACTTCGATTTTTTTTAAGACTTTTTTTCCAGTGTAAAGCAATGAGGTGTTACCCACACAATCAGCATATTAACATACATATCATACATTGCACGGAAGTGCTCAGATGCATGAGAGGACTAAAGTATTCTAATGTAAGGTTCTGATACTAAGACATTGAAACATTACAAATATTTCAGTACATAAAGATTGAGTACCGACTACAGTACTATTAACTGAATAGTATGTAAGGATCCCAAATCTGTTTCCATAGGAATAGGTTTGTACGCTTGCCATAACATTTGGACTTAAATGTATTTTCAAAAAAATTATTCCATTCGGCTTGGAATTTGGTTTTTAAGAAAATGGAAGTTTAAGGACGAACACATCTGATAATATTTACCATTATTTGGTAAAAACAGAGTTCTTATGTTAGGCTTGAATACTAAACATTTTTCTAATTTGTTAAAATACCCAACTGGCTTTCTAGAGAAGCACTGATCATCCGCCGTATTTTATTTGACCTTCAGTTCAGTATTCAGAGCTGGAGGGAGCCTGTCCCCTTGGTGTGTTGTGTTTCCCTTTTCCTTTTGGGGAGAATCTCAGGTGTTTCTGTGAAATGCTTTGACCTCATATCCATAAACTAGTTAGAGTTCCAGTCAGAAAAAAAAGTGAGCACTCCTTTCTGGTGACGTTGAGGTAGATCCATTGTATGTTTATGTCCTGTAATGATTTAAAAGTTTAGAATTTACAGTCTACCAGTAGTAGAAAATGGTACCTTTCATCTTTATACAAGTACCCTTACCCTTTAATAAGGCTTATTCTCTCAACTGGGTACTAATTTAATCTTAGTTAATAATTTGTCCAGCAAAGGCCAGTCTTTTAAGAAAGATTTAGAATAGCAGAGTGGTTTTATGAAACCTTCGTATTTAAGAGAACAGTTCCCATTGCTTCTTCGATCTCTTTCAGAGGCATTAGGTGACAGCTCTTATTTCTCTCTAAGTTGTGTCAGGTCACAACAGTGAGTACTGGAAGGGGAACACACCTCTGCAGAGTGATCAAACAAATGGTTGGGGAAGGAGGCTAAGCTTTTTGGTAAACTCTTGAAGATTACATAAGTGCAGAAATCTTAGGTGGATAGCTCAGTGATTTTTACAAGTGTACACACTTGTATAACTATTACTCAGATCAAGATATAAAATATTATCAGCACCCGAGAAATCTTCCTTATGTCCTTTCTTCCTAGTCACTGCCTTCCAGATTATTAGTTTTGCCTGTTTGAACATTGTATACCATATGTTCTTTGTATTGGGTTTCTTTCCTTTAATATTGAGTTGTAGTCATGTGACATACTTTTTTCTTTTTGAATGCTGCATAGTATTTCATTGTTAAAAAAATGCAAGTTACACATCCATTTTACTACTAATAGACATTTGGATTTTTTCCAGTTTTGGAAACAAGTGCTCTGAACACTCTTGTACTCTGTCTTTTGAGCAGTTTTCAACCTTTTTCATCTTGTGACTAATTTAGTAAACTAATTACTAAATTTCTATGGCACACCAAAAACTATTTTTTGTTGATCTGACAGAAAAAATAGGTGTGATTATGATTCATTCACTCTGGATGGCCATTGTTGTGTTGGCTGTTTTCATTTTTTTATTTGACCATCTAAGGAGAAAGAGGTCAGTGCCCCTGACTAAATAGTCAGGTGTTGAATGCTTTAAAAATTCTTAGGTCACACCAGTTGAAAATCACTGGTGTGCATACATTTGCATTTTTGTTGGATATATACCATGTGGAATTGTTAGGTTATAAACAACTACGGACAGTTTTCCACAATGGTTGTACCAGTTTGTTCTCTAGTAGCATTGTATGTGAGAATTTGAAAACCCATACATTTTGATTAACAACGGTTTCTATGAAATTTAAGCCATCGATTCTGAGATTGTTAATCATGCTTAGATTTTTCCGTATTAAAGAAATAAATTACTCTAACGCCTCAACTTCTGTTTTTAGATATGGCTCGTGGACAGCAGAAGATTCAGTCTCAGCAGAAAAATGCCAAAAAGCAAGCTGGACAAAAGAAGAAACAAGGGCATGACCAAAAGGCTGCTGCCAAAGCTGCCTTAATATATACCTGCACTGTCTGTAGGGTAAGGGAAATTGAAAGACATAGCTTTCCCATGGACAGTTCTTTCATTAAAGATTTGTTTGTATAGGTTAAAATTTTGCAGTCATGTCAAAATAAATGTTTTACTTGAAATGGTAGATTTGAGAACTGGTTATTTTTCGAATCCATCCTTCTTCTTCAACAAACACTTTATTGAATGGCTCCTGTAGCCAGGCAGTTTTCCAGGTGTGGAAAGGAGTGAACAAAGTTTCTTTCCTCAGGGTGAATAAAGATGCCTTCTTAAGGTGAAATAATACACTTTGAACTTTGTAAAGAAGTCACATCTGCCTTGGCTGGTGTAGCTCAGTGGATTGAATGCCAGCCTGCAAAACAAAGAATCACTGGTTCAATTCCCAGTCAGGGCACCTGTAGGGGGAATGGGAGAGGCAACCACCCATTGATGTTTCTCTCCCTCTCTCACTTCCCCCTGTCTAAAAATAAATAAATAAAATCTTTTTTTAAAAAGTCAGATCTACATTAAGAAGTCAGTTTAGTTTTAAACTACGTAAGATACCAGTGAGTAAGACTCATTATACAATTGTTTTGTTTTCTTTCACTAAGTCCATTGTTAGCATGTCTGTAAAACTTTGGCGTTTGTTCATGCGTGTGTTGTTAGAGTTGAAGAACAATCCTGGCAGCTGCTATTGAGTGCTTAGTATGTGCCAAGGCACTAAACCAGGTGTTTTACCCGTATGAGCCCAATTATCCACAAAACAACCCAATGAGAAAAAGTACTTTTATTATAGTCATTTTACAAAAGAATAAATTGAGTCATGGGAATTAAATAATTTGCACAGGTCACCCAGCTAGTACATAGAAAAGCTGGGATCTAAACCCAGATAGTCCAGCTCCAGTGTCCACTCTCTGGACAAAACAAGTTTTTCAGGCCAGAGTCTTTTTCTTGCCCATTTGTTTAAGCTCCCCACCCTTGAGGTTAGCACACAGACGTTCCAAAGGAAATATACATAATGAGGTTGGTGGTATAGATGGGAGGAGATCTTTATAATTCCCGGGTTATCTGGTGAAGTCTTTACTGATGAAATAAAAGTTCCTGACTTAATAAAAGATCTGTTGTGTTAAATATCTTGTTCATATTGAGTTTTGATACACTCAAAATAATGAAATTGAGCAGCTTCAGATTCTATTTGGAAAGAAGCAGGGTAAAAGTAAAATCACTGAATTACTGAAAAATACATTAACTTAAAAGTACTAGAGTAGTTCACGTATTCAGAAACTCAAGTCAACAAAAAACATTTATGTTCTGTCTAATTGAGTATTCTAAAGAACTAATAATTGAAGGCCCTTGCCTAGGGAAGTTAGTATAGTACAGTATTCGCGAGCTGCAGTACCTAGTGCTAGGTTAAAGCGTAAGTCTTGAGCAAATTAAGCTTTCAGGTTTGGTTTCCCTATCATGTAAAATGAGCATAGTAGGAATTCATGTAAGTTCATTGTGAAGATCGGTGAGAGTTCTGGTAACATGCTTAACATCATAATAGTGCAACAGGCTACTGATTTGCTGCTAAATGAGCAGAATACTCCATTCTCTGTGTCCCACCCCTGTGTGCAATGTGGGGGTATGTTGGGCATTTCTGTATTACGTGGTCACTTTGTAATATGGTCTAATGCTTTTTTTGTATAATTTTTGTAATTAGACACAAATGCCAGACCCTAAGACCTTCAAGCAGCACTTTGAGAGCAAGCATCCTAAGACTCCACTTCCTCCAGAATTGGCTGATGTTCAGGCATAAAGTTGTTTACAGGTAATTGACCTTTTTTCTTTTGGTTTGTTAATGTCAGGGTCGTATTCAAGAACAAAAATATCTTCCATGATTGTGAAGTTGACTTTACCATCTAGCTGAGTTTTGATTGCTTCCCCTTTTTAAATTAATGTACAACAGTTGTTAAAAGTGTACTTTCTCAGACCGTATCCTGATGAACTAGAAGTTCCTAACTACATAAATGTTCTACTTTTATGTAGAACTTACTACTTACTACTGTAGCCAGAAATGGGGGGGGATGAAGGGATGCTGGCCCACTCTGGTCCAAGAATGGAATAGACTTGTCAGCTTGAAGAAAATAACTATTTCCAAGGTATTGAGGTTCTTGCTCAGAGAAATGAAGCAGACCAGTGTCCTGAGAGCCTTTTGCAGGCACTTCACTTAACAGTAGTTGCTTGAAAATAATCAGCTCAGATTTTCTGTGTAGTTGGGTTTCTTTTTATTTTATTTTTTTCCTCCTAAATAGCTGCGATGGTAGTGGTGTGAGAATTTTTTTTTAGTAAATTAATCAAAGTTCTGTTTATAAAATCCCATTGACATCTTATTAGCCTAACCTGATATTTTAAGCGTATTGTGTTTTTTCCTTAGACATTTGAAATGTTCGTAAGTTACATTTGTGGAATGCTTTCCTTCACAGAAAATTTTGCTTATGTTTTATAGGTGAATTCATGACACCTCTGACTCTTCTACTGTCTCAGACCTTAGGTAACAAACCTGCAGCTGCTTTTCTAACAAACTGTTGGTCAGCAAAAATAAAGGGGCTACAGAAACACTCATTTTTATGCTGTTCCCTTTGGGCTTCATGCAAAGACAATTCTGTGTAAATGTACAGTTGACTCTAATTTGGAAATCTGAAAATCAGTCCATCCTTGTTATAAAAAAATTTTTTACAATTGTAATTATATTGATGTTCATATTGTGTAAAATAATTCATTTAATAAAGTAGTACTTTGATTTTACAACATCACAGGATAAATGGTTCTAGAAATTCTGTTCTAACTGTTCACATTATTTGCCTTATAAAAATGTAATGAATTCATCAGCTAGAATTGCAAGCGCAGTTCTTATCTCCCTCTCAGCTCAGTGGCAGGTTCGTTAGTTAAACTAGAGCAGACTCATTATTAAATTTGTGTACACAGTTTTATTGGCAGCTGCCTAGGTGAGGAATGACTTACCTGCTTCTTTAGTATATTGCAATCGTATGTCATTCTCTCCCCTGATTGTTTCCTGTGTTCGAGGTTGGAATATTTTAATTCGCTGTATAACTTGGCTATAGACGCCAGCTAGGTATGCCCTGGAGATAAGTGACGCATTCCCAAAGCGGTTGGATCGTTAGTGAGCCCTTCTGAAAAACTAGTTTCTGAAATACATGCAGTAATGAAATAATCAGGAAGCCTAATCATTTATTAACAAAATATGATGGAACATATGTGAACTAGTGAAGATTTATCCTTCCTAAATTATGCTGGATTCTTTGAACATTCTTCAAATTCTTTGATTGGATATCAAAACTCATGATTTTGAAGTTTTTGGAGGTTATTAGTGGTTTGGCCAATGCATTTTGCATTAACAGGAAGATTGGAATGACTTGTGGCTGGGTTAATTCCCAGAACCTTCTTCCTCCTTTTCTTTGTGAGTCGTTGATTTTGGGAGTTTACTTTGTGCTGGTTCCTAAAATCAAAGACTGTGTATTATATGATTTCCGTCTGAACTAGAAAAGTGTTAAAATAAGCCAGTATCCACATTCATTTGGTTCCAAGAATGGGGAAGTGGGTTGGTTCAGATGGTTGAGGTAAATCCTACCCAGTTAAGGGAGGCTAATTTTAGGGTTCTTCTGATTTGCTTTGGCTAGCTATTAACTTTATGAGTGAAACTGCTGTAACTCAGTTTAAATTTTAAAGTTAATATAATAGGAAGAACACTCAATTATTTACTGGTGATTGCTTAGAGCCACAAATCTGATCCTGTGGATTTAAAAATGCATTCCTCCTTTCTGCTGTAACTCGTCACTGCTTTGTAGCCATGCATATTCGGCCCCCCTCGTTTGTCTTCATTGTAAGTTTAAAGTAAGATATTTTGAGGAAAATCTTCAGTGGTGATAATTTCTTAGCAATTTCTATTCCTATACTATTACCTTAAAATAATGATTTTTTCCATGTATTTAATTTCCTAAGTTTCAGATTTAATGTTATTTCCTTATATGTTGATTACCAGAGTATTAGAATTTGCCTAATTGCTTGTGGTAGGTATTACAGAAGTCCTGGTTAAATTACAATTTAAAGGTTTTTAAGTGCTATGAGCATATTATGTTTCATAACTAATCATTTAAAAACCATTCACAAGTTTTGGTTTAATTTTTTTTTCATTTGTTTTACTGACTGATTCAGAATAAAAGTGTGTCATTCTTGTATTTAACCCTTTTTTATAAGCAGCTGAGGACACCATATTTAACTATCTCAGTGATAGGACTAGCTGCGTTGATCTTACGTAGGATGTCAGTTCTCATCCTCTGTGTGAGGATTGTTAGTACAATCCCCTTTTTTTGTGTTTGAGCGTAATTTGCTGTAAGGGGAAAAATTAAATTCTTAACCATTCTCATTATTTAATTCAAAGATTCCTCAACAGATTATAGCAAAGTTCATTATAAAATTGTTATGATGTCTTCAAAGACCTGATGAAATACAATGAGACAGAATTGGTCCGTTTGTATTCTGTATTTCCAATAGTTGCCAAAAGGAATGGGGTTAAGATTCATCTTGTTTCTATTCCCCTTCACATGGACCTACACCCCCTTGTCCACCTGCACACGGGGCTCAGTTGTGTTCTGTAATGTCTTATTAAAGGAGATGTTAAAGAAAATGAAACTAGTCCAATTTCTTCTACGTGTTAGGGGTTTTTATATTGCCTCTTCCATTTTTTTTTCCATTTTCAACTCAGAATTGTCTCCTGAGTAGTTCTAAGGGTGATGCAATTTCTTTCATTTCTCATTGTTTTTCCTGTAGTCTATTTTGGACCTATAGAAGAACATCCTTAGAAATGAAAGGAAGCATGTCGTTCTGAAACCTCACTCTGTAGGATGTGTACTAAGTTGTTGGAAGAGGAAAATAATTGCCTATTAATATAAAATAATATTAAAAACATCTGTAGGTCTGTTCATTGAATTGGGTGGATAAGTCCTTATAACATTGACTCAGATTTGAGATAACACTTTTGGTTTTACATTTAAAATACTATAATAACTAATTAGTTAAACCATAATTCAATTCTGAGACGTGTGTCACATGCATAAGGTAGAATTTGCCAACATTTAAAGTACTGAATCTGAATTCATTTGTGCTGGATTGTCATTTTTCTGGTGTTCTGGGTTTGGTTTGGTTTGGTTTAGTTTTGGTCAGAGATGCACAATTTTTGGAGTGTATAGCAATGAAGACCAACACCAGGGGGTTGTGTTTACTATGGCTCTATAATCTGAAATCTTCCCAGCTCGCCAAACTATCTATTGTAAAAATTGCAGAAAAATCTTAGGAACTTCCAGTGTGTAGATTTAATAAAACACCTAACAACTTAACTGAAAGATATTTTTATTAATAAAAGTTTATCCTGTCATTCATTGTGGATTACCATATTAAACCAAAAATTAAATGTCTTTTATTTTAAGTGTTCTTTGGATAAGCTGTTTACTGACTTACTGTTTTTTGGGAATGGGTTTTGCTTCCGAGCAGCCCTTCATTGGCTCCAAATTTAAAAGCCGTACATGTAGACACAGACTTAAATGATGTTTTTATGCCCATAACGGGCATATCTACAGTTGTGAAATAATTACGTTAACGTCATAGTACTTTTTAATCATTTCCTATGTATGCATATTTTTCTATACATATGGAACGATGGCTTAGGTTTTTATAGACCAAATAGGTACCTCACTTTATCACTGTTTACTGTCTTGTAAAATTCAGAATGTGACTTGTATTTTGGATTCTTACTAAAATTGTAATTACTAGGAAGTAGGCCATCATAATATTTCCTCTATAACAATGTAACAGTGTGTCTCAGAATGAGGTCTAAAGCTAGAGCAACCATACATCCTGGTTTGCCAAAGACAATCTAATATTTAATAGTAAATGTTAAATTAATATTAGTTATTAAGGTATCTCATTATAAATCTTTATATTACCTCCTTTTACTCACACATATCAGTTTAAGAGTATGTCAAACAGCTTCTTTTTTTCTTTAACATGAACACTTAAAAAGGTTTTTTTTTCTTTTATTGATTCTAGAAAGAGGGGAAGGGAGGAGGAAGAGGGAGAGAAACATTAATGTGAGAGAGACATCCCTTGGTTGCCTGATGCACGTGCCCTGACTGGGGAATGAAGCAGCAACCCAGGCAAGTCCCTTGGCCAGGAATTAAACCAGGAACCTTGTGGTTTGCAGGACGGTGCCCAGCCAGTGAGCCACACCAGCCAGGGTGAACAACTGCTTTTTTAAAATATAGATTAAAAAATCTCATTTTAAAGTCCTAAGTTGTTTAGACTTTTATTTCCTGACCATCTTTTCACCCAAAGGACTTACAGGGAAAAGGCCAGTTGGGATTAGAGGTGCTGCCTGTTAGTACAGAACACTTACTGAGGAGGGAAGGAGAATCAGCACTGGATGCAAGTTAAATGTCTGCTGGGCTAATGATACTGAAAACTTACGGCAGATCTTTTTATTTTGGTACAGGTTGCTTCTACATACTTGATATGGATATCTAAAAGTTCCTCTTTTATAATTGTTAATTTTGGAGTACTATTAGACCTACGGAGAAGTCGTAGTGGTAGTCCAAGAGCGCTCTTGTGTCCCCTCACCCAATTCCCACTTACCCCTAATATCTTTTTTTTAATAATTTTTTCCAATTATAGTTTAAGTACAGTATTATATTTGTTTCAGATGTACAACCCACCCCTAGTTAGTTTGAGTCTTCCATAACTGTTGTATGCTCATCAAAACCCAGCTTTGGTGTGTTAACATTAACCCGTCTGTCTTATTAATGGCCTTTTTCTGTCCCAGGATCCAATCTGGAATGCTGTGTGGCATTTAGTTGTCATTTCTTCTTGGACTCTTGTGTCCTGTGATTGCTCAATCTTCCCCTTGTTTTTCATGACCTTGACCGTTGTGGGGTATTCGGAGGAATATTGTAGGACGTCCCTCAGTTCGGACTTGTTTAATGATTCCCTCATGCTCACATGAGGGTGACTGGGTTTTAGAAGGAAGACCACAGAGAAGTGCCCTTCTCGGCGCTCTGTAGGTGAATGATTCCCATATGACATCACTGGTTAGGGTGCTGTCTGCCAGGTTTCTCCACTGAAAAGTTGCTGTTTGCTTTCTTTTCGAATGCTGCTCTTTCAAAGTAAGTCCAGCCCTTACTCAAGGGGTGTGGGAATTTAGCTCCACCTTCTGGACGGGTAGAGTATGTGCGTGTGTTTGCATGTGTATAAAAATAGATACATACATGTACATATATATATATGATATTTGGAATTCTATAAGATTTGTTTCTTCTCCCCATTTAATTATTTATATTCACATGGACTCATAGTCTAATACTATGTTATTTACTTTGTTATTCAAATCATTCCAGCTTTGGCCACTGGGTTATTCTTTCAGATTGGCTCCTGTGTGCCTATGACATGCCCCATCCTTTTCTGAGCATTTTCTTACTTTGCTCCAGGCTCCTCTTACGTTTTCCCTGCCCAGCCCTAGAAATGGCTCACCCCTGAGCCAATTCTCCCAAGAGCCCTGATTCCTTTTATTGGAGAATGGTATTTAGAAATCAGATCTGGGCACTGGGGATGAGGTGTATGGGTTCTTTTTTTTTTTTAATTATGAAATGTTGAACTCTTTCCCATCATTAACTAAAATTATTTGAGCATTATAGGGAGAAGAGTATCTTTATCCCAGCTCTTTAGAGGATGAGCTCTTTGAGTTTTC